GGATGGATGGATGGATGAATGGATGGATGGATGGATGGGAGGATAGGAGGATGGATGTTGTAGCACATATTTTTAGCCTAAATGAGTCAACCACAGCACAGAACTAACAGCCTATGAGCCTCAGTTGTTTGATGTTTTTGTTCCACTCAGTGATTAACACGTTTTACAATCCCTGAAGGAGTCAGAAGCTTTTCATACACAACTGTCAGCCTAATGACATCTCCTCTTCATTTCCCTGCAGAAATGAGGCAACGCTCCGAGATCTTTCCCATATAGAACAGTGGTGCCCCATTTCTTTTGAACAAGCACAATACAAGCTGCCATCCAAGCTGTAAGCGATTGTTTATTGTGACGGTGGGATTCAGAAGAGACTTACGTGTGCTCTACATTCACGCTATTTTCTGAAAAACGATAGAAAGTGAGAGACATGATGAGGACTGATTGTCCTTATAATTTTCCCCTTGTTAAGTCAAATGATGCAACTAAATTAGTTTCTCTCCTCCAAGGCACAACCTGAATTATGTGTCACATCAATACAGTCCTTTCAAACTAATCCTTCACCAATTCTTCTTGAAGAGTTCTGGCAATATGAAGAGTTTACATGAAGTCATTGTTCAGGAAAAAGACACAAAAAGCCACGCAATCAAAGTTTTTTTTGTATTAAAACGAGCATTTCATTAGGAAAATGAGAACAGAAAATATAGAACAATTTTAGCTGAAAGATTATATTTTTTGATCAAGCAAGAACCATACTTTTCCTATATATATAAACAGTACATATGGTGCACTCTTTATTGTCTTCCCAGTGTTTCAGGTTCAGGTTTTGAAATTTTGATCCTGTTGATAAATTCCAACTGTCACCAAACTCAAGCTGAAATTTTCTCAACATAAGATCTTAGTTTAAAATTTTGTCATGGAAGGCAGCATTTAAGTTAATGGAACATTAAAGTACATTTTTCTGATTACAGATTAAGACAAATTTTAAACAAGCCCCAGGGGTAATTAAATGATAGAGTTGGGGAACGGTGATAAAGGATTGGGAATTGAGTTTTAGTTCCTCKGTCTTCCTGTGGCACTTCAGGTCCCCGTAACGCCTTCCAGGGTGAGTATTTTCACTAATAATTCTGCCGGACTTTGCGGTGGCAGCACAAACTGCCCCAGCATTGTTTGTTTAACTTTTTGTGGTTTGTTAGAACATTTATGATTGACAGACTCAGATGTTCACATGCTTCCAGATAATGGGGACAATTGTCTCAAAAGCAAAGCTACAAGTCCACAGAATGGCCTTGCATTGGCCTCATTCTGCTTTGTTTGATATGTTGCAATATGGAGGGTGTTATTTAAAGCATCCTCTGTGGATCTGCTTGAGATGTGTACTCATGCTGCTCCAGGGTAGGAAAGAGTTTGTCTTGCTGATTTTGCTTAAAATGGAAATGTGATCACTAGTGGCGGGCTCTCCCCTAAAGCGCAAATGTGCTATGTGGACCTAAATTTCTCCTTTTGCATTTTAGGGGTTTTATTAATTTCTTCAAATGATGTGCAGATTTGCACTTTCTAAATTTAGAATCGAGTAGCGCTAATCGCAAATAACGTTACAAGTTTGATCGTCAACATTGTCTAAAGAAAAAATAGAGACTCGTCTACACCCACTACGTTCTGTAGCATTATGTTTCGTTAAAGTTTCGTCATCATTTTCTTGAACATTGGAGGAGAAAGCCGTCTCTTATCAACACAATGGAGCTCCACTGATGGTTTTCATTTAGTGGAGAGTTCCCACCATTCTTTGCGTGACAAACAATATCGAGCCATCAATATTGTTGTTTATATACATATGTGAGCTTTGGGAGGATAGAGGGCGGAATTATAATTCATGTCCCGCTGCATCTTCACCAACATGCTGTTTCACGTCAAGCTCACAAGAAACAGCTTAAATTCAAGCTCTTATTTTGAAATTAATGGGTTCCTGTTTGTCCTGTATGCCTACCAGAATGCATCGCTTCAGTTTTMCAGTAAACAGTTTAAAATTACTAATATATCTGCATAGTTTCTTACAGAAGCCCTACTATAAACATAAGAAAACGATGTCAACACTATCAATCCACAGTTATTTTATTCTAACACCATGAATTAAAAAGTCTGTTTCAACAAATCACCTCCTCAAACTGCRACGACATGTGCCAATCTGTGAAAATAAATTATCATTCCACTAGTTGGCAGTATTGAGCTGCTGACATGTCTTATGGTGTCACTGGAATGTTTTCT